ACTACGTTGCCCTCCCCGAGGGACTTCAATCCACGAGCCCGGATCCATCCCGCGACTGGTGGAAACAAGATTGTCCTCCCATAGGACTTTTCCTCTCCAGAACTCACACAGAGATCAAGACAAAGGCTCTAATTCTTTTTTTTTTTTAATAATCCATCATGTTCTAATACATGAGCAAAGGCCTCTATATATAGGCCTTAAAAGAAACTAAAAGACAATTTTGCCCCTTGGGCTTACATAAAAAAATCCCTTAAGGGTAAAAAAGAAAAATGCATAATTAAATAAAAATTACAATTAATAAAATAAGATAAAATGAAGGGATCTCGGCCTCCGATCTTGGTCTCTTCCTTTGATTAATGCCCACCGTCGGATGTCCGCATCACACCTTGAATTCTTTCCATAATTATCTCCTCTTAATTTGGAAAGATTTAATTTCAAATTTCAAAGCATTTTGAATTTGAAATTTATTTCCTAATTTAAGAGACCTATTTTTGGAAAGTTCCTAAATTAAGTTCAATTTGAATTTTGAATTGAATTGGATTGAAGATCACTCCTTTCTAATTTGATTTTCCAAATCCAGGAAGAGTAATTACTTTCTCTCAAACCCCTTCCCTCTTTGGATGCCGCCGGCCTCTACATGGTCCCCATCCTCTTTATTTCTTTCCAAACTCAAGTCCCCTCTTTAGGAAACTTATTAAATCCACTCCTATTTAAATTTTAAATTAAGCGGGGATGGATTATTTCTTTCCTAACTTATTAATTTAAGTAGGCATTAATTGCATCATTAAACCTTTCCTTGTCTCCATAGCCGCCGGCCCCCCTTAATGGTTTGAATTATGAATTGTTTCCTAAAGCCCACCTTCTCTCTTGGAAACAATTCAAAACCCCTTCCCCCTCCTTAGCCGCTCCACCCTTCCCTAATTAAACCCTAATCCTCTCTCAAAGTAAAGAGATTTAATTGGGGAAAACAAATATTTGATTTCCCTCCATCTCCTCTTCCAAAATCCGAACAAAATTTCTCTCCCGTGTCCTCATCCCTAGCCGGCCACCTCCATCTCTCTTCCTCTCTTGACTTCTCAAGATAATCTCCTCCCTCTCAAGAGTAGTCTTCAAGGGGGGCAACGACGACGTCTGTAGATCTTGACTACTTGTTGCCGGGTGTCGACAAAGTTGAACCTTCAAGGGAGCTACGACAAATTTCTTCAACATCTCACTACTTGCTACCGGGTTGTGATAAGGGTGAACTTCTTCCCCCTTTTGTGATTACTTTCCTAATCCCCTAATATTGTAGGTGTGACGATTCACAAGGAGCTGAGCTTTACCTTTGCCTAAGCTTAGTAAACGTAGGATTCCGTTTCGCCATTGCCAAAGCTTAGTAAACGTATGATTAAATACACTTTCTATGCTTCTAATCTAATTGTTATATTAGGGATTTTGTTGAAAGCTATTTACTTTGCATGTTATTGAATTTCTGCTTGTTTTGAATCTCCAAGTGTTTGGCATGTGGCTTAGCCTAAACTTAGGCACTCCTCTTTTGTTTTCTATCGTCGTTTTGATTGCTAATAGTGGTAATCTTACGTGCTTAATTCAAGAAATCGTGCAAATTCTTATTTCATTCATTTTAAGCATTTAGTCCTACATCATGTACAATTAAATCAGAATTAATCATTATAATTGTTGTATATTTTCATTTATTTACACATTTTTATTAATCATACTTTTGTGTCAACTACCCTTTGATAAATGTTGGGCTAACTTTTCATTATCAAGGGTTAGAAATTTTCTTTTTATTATTTTGATGGTTGGGCTAACTAACTCTCAATATCAAGAGTTAGAAATTTATTTTTATTCATCTTTTCCTAATAAAGGTTTGATTAACCGACTCCTTAGCATAAAAAATCTTCTTTTCCTACTTAGGTCATCAAAGTTGGCTAACCTAGCTCATATGATTTGGCTTTTCATAGGATCATTGAAATTTATTATCTTTATTTTAATCTTTCTCATTTATTGGCATTGATATAAATATTTATTCATTTCATAATGATTTACATACATGATAAAATGTGATGCATGTAAAAATACTTATTTGTACTTTGTATATCATTTAGTAGTTCTATTTTTGCAGTATATAAATTAATGAACTTATGACTTGTATAAATTTATAATATGCATTAATCTTTTGTTCCTCTTAAATGCTTTTAATATGGTCATCATGCAAGAATTTCTATTAATACGATCATATGTTGTTATGGGAGGTTGAAGAAATAATAAAATGTGCAAATTTCAATTTAGGAATAATTTGACCATTATATCTGAAGTTGAGTATCTCACTTTAACAATTTGTTCTTCTCCTTGACATGGTTTTCCTTAATTTTCTTTTCCCT